TCAAGGCCTCAAGCCGACTCTCTGGTTCTTCTGGTTCCTCTCGGCGACGCCCGATGCGTGCGCCGGCAGTGGGGGAGTGTGCGCGCGCGTGTGTGAGATGAGGATTGTGGCAGGCTGGCTGCTGCTGATGTGGGCAAGTGTGCTCTGTGTGCGGCGCTGCGCTGGCGTGCGATGCGCGCGTGCTATGCGCGTGTGCGTGTTGGAATCGCGCGTGCGTCTGCGTGTGCTGCGCGCGCGCCGGCGTGCACTGTGCGCTGTGCTCTGCTGTGCGCCTGTTTGTGCAGCTTTGAGGCGCAGCTTTGGCTGGCAGGGCTGCGCGGTGGGCTGCGGCGTGCTGCGGGTGGTCGCGCGCCTGCCTGATGGTGTACGGCGGTCGCGCAGCCCGCCCGACCGGGTCGTCGGCGGCCCAGGGCGCGAGCATGCGGTCGGCGCTGCATGTGAGGCTGCTGCGCGGCTGGCGCGTATGTTTCCGTGCGGTGAGGGACGCGCGTATGTGTTCACGCTGCGGGCGCGGGCGGGCGCGGGGGGCGGCGCGGTCTCACCGCGGTCCGACGTCGGTTGGTCTTCTGCGTGACGAGGGCGGGCGCGCAAAGAGGCCTTGCCGCCATCGCGTTGCCGCGAAGGAAAAAGAATTTCTCGGGGCTAACCCTCGAAGACCCGTCACATTAATATGACATATGGCCCTGTGCGCCGTGTGCTACCGACTGCACTCCAAAAGTGCTCCAAGACCAAGCTTCGATGCCGAAAGCAACTCCCACTGAGCGAGCCGCGCAACTCACTCGCTACCATCGACACCCGTGCGTGTCACACTACCTCTACCGTTCCGGATTCGCCTCTCCCCACTCTCGGAGACGTTCGCAGATGGCGGCGAATAGGAACGTGCACTTTCGCGCTTCTCGCGCTTCTCATCACTGCCCCGGCGCCCACGCCTCGACCTTCTTGGGCAGCAGTTGGTTGGACAGGTCCTCTCCGTGGCCTAGGCAGCCGGTCTCGCCCTGGCCCCAGGTAAAGACGGCGTTGGCGGTGGTGCGGGCGATGCTGTGGTCGCGTCCCGCCCGCACGGCGACGACGCGCTGGCCAGCCAAGGCCTCGACCTTCTTCGGCAGCAGCTGGTTCTGCCAGTCGCCGTGGCCCAGCTTGCCGAAGTCCCCATGGCCCCAGCTCCAGATGGCGCCGTCGGCGGTGAGGGCGAGGCTGTGGTAGAGTCCAGCCGAGACAGCGACGACGCGCTGACCAGCAAAGGCCTCGATCTTCTTGGGCACCAGCTGGCGTTGCTCGTCGCCGTGGCCCAACTGGCCAAAGCCTCCATCGCCCCAGCTCCAGATGGCGCCGTCGGCGGTGAGGGCGAGGCTGTGGGCGTATCCAGTCGACACAGCGACGACGCGCCGGCCCGCCAAGTCGTCGACCTTCTTCGGCAGCAGCTGGTTCTGCTGGTCGCCGTGGCCCAGCTGGCCCCAGCCTCCCTTGCCCCAGCTCCAAACCGAGCCATCGGCGGTGAGGACGAAGCTGTGGAAGTCTCCAGCCGACACAGCGATGACGTGCTGACTCGCCAAGGCCTCGACCTCCTTGGGCAGCAGCTGGCGCTGCTCGTCGCCGTGGCCCAGCTTGCCGAAGCCTCCATTGCCCCAGCTCCAGACGGCGCCGCTGCCGGTGAGGGCGAGGTTGTGCGACCATACAGCCGACACAGCGACGACGCGCTGGCCAGCCAACGCCTCGACCTTCTTCGGCTGCCACTGGTGCTGCCCGTCGCCGTGGCCCAGCTGCCCTCGCCCTCCATGGCCCCAGCTCCAGACACTGCCGCCGGCGGTGAGGGCGAGGCTATGCGCAGCTCCAGCCGTCACACTCACGGCGCGCTCGCCGCCCAGCGTCGACGGGAGGCGTGTCGGCGTGTTGAGCTGTGTCACACCCTCGCCGTGCCCGAGCAGTCCCGCCGTCCAGTTCTCAGCCGTTCCGCACGACGAGAGCCGCCCCTCACCGTCGATGAAGACGCTGTGCCGGTCGCCTGCTGCCAGCCTCGCCGGCGGGTTGGCCTCGCACAGCAGCGCCGAATAGCACAGCCACCGCACGGTGCAACCCTCGTCCTCTGGCTGCGCCGGCAGCTCGAAGCCGCGCTCTCGCGCCCACAAGCGGATGCCCTCCAGCGCGAGAGAGGCGTGGAAGAGCAGCGAGACGGCTGCGACACGAGCGATGTCGGCGGGGTCGCAGCGAGAGATGGCGCGCACGAGGAGCTCCGTAGGGAGGTCGAGGAGGCGGGTGGGCGGCGGCGTGTCTGGCGAGGGAGCGGCGGTGGAAGCGGGTTTGAGGCGGCGCGAGCGGCGGCGCGGCGGGGTGGACATCGCCGAAAGAATTTTACCACAACTTCCTCGCACAACACTGGGCACGGGACTGGCTCGCGCTGGCACTAACACAGGTACACCACGGGAGCCGCCTAAGCGACTCCTGCGAGAGTGGCGAGGCACTTAGCGCCGTGCACCCGCCCACCCCCGCCACAGGCAAGCTCATTCACAACCTGCTCTGCGATTGCCGTGTGAAGAACGACTGAGATACGCTGCTTATGCAGCCCCAGCCAATTCTTAGTGGTCCAAGTCACCTCATCGAGGTACTGGGCCCGCGTCAGCTTGTTCTGTAGCACGTCCGCCGCCTTCCGGAGGATCTCACGGACCCCCTTTCCGAACCCGCCGAACGATTCGAACAGCAGCAGCTGCACGTCAACGCCCTTGTCCTCCCTGGCGTAGCGATAGTCCCCGCTAAAGGACGGTATGCGGCGGTCGCCGCCCACCACCCTGCCCCCCCCTGGTATGCCAGCGCCCGGTCCCTTGCCCTCTCTCGCCCTTGCTCTTCATAGCCGCCGCCGTCGCTCGGCCTGAAGTCGCCGTCCCCGACAGCGCCGCGCTGCTCGAGGCCGAAGACGTCCGCGCTCGTGCCGGGCTCGGTGTTGCCGAGGCCGACGAAAGCGCCTCGCTGGCCGACGTCCTCCGGGTTGGAGGAGAGCGGGTTCTTGAACTTGACGTCGCCGACGAGGCGTGAGCGCGAGCGGCCGGCGCCCGCCACCGAGACGTCGGGCCGGTACCCGCGCGCCGGTAGTCGTTAGAGTAGCCGAGGTGGTCCCGCGGCTCCACCTCGACGAGCATGCCCCACACGCTCCGCATGACCTTGGCCAGGGCGGCGAGGAGGCTGTTATGGCGGCCGCAGTGCCCGAGGCGGCCGATGTTGCTGGCCGGTCGCCCAATGGGTCCTGCACCTTGCCGCCGCGCGCCGAGCAGGTCGGCGCGCCCCGCGCGAGCGCCTCGTCGAGTGGTAGCCCCGCGCGAGCGCCTCGTCGAGTGGTAGCCCGAGGCGCCGCTGGACGGCGATGCGCAGCGCCCACGTCGAGATACGAAAGTCGCGGCGCGAGGGGACGGCGTTGAGGAAGGCGCCCGCCTGGTACTCGAGTACTGGCTGGCGGCGATGAAGCGCACCGCCTCCCGCCTAGCCACGCCCGGTAGCTGCGAGGCCCTCCTTGCAGTAGTCGAAGACCTGGCGGTCGTACTGCTCGTACAGGTCCTCGCCACGTAGTCATAGTCATCGAGGAGGGTGCTGTGTGCGTTCTGCAGCTCGGTGAAGATGGAGAGCTGCTGGAAGTCAGCCGCCGACTCGGCCGTGATGTCGACGGCTCGGAAAGGCGCGGCCAGTTGCCAGGGCGACGCCAGCGCGCTGTCTCTCTCACAGGTGTGTTCCGCCTCGGGAAGGTTCGTGTAAACTTCCGAAATGCAGAATCGTCATCAAACATAGCACCCTCGCGCGCAAAAGGAGTCCGTACCCCGATCGGTTTGGACGGATTTCGATGGCAGCCTTAAAGCTCGTGCTCGCCACCGCGCTGCTTGTTCTCGCGCCGTCTGCGGCGCTGCGGATACCGCCGAGCACCCGGCCGACCTCCCACCCGGCGCGCTCGCCCGTCATCCGCGGCCCGCAGTTCTGGGTCCGCCGAGCCAAGCCAGCCTTCAGCCCGCCGCTGCCGGTTGGCGCGGGGCTGCGCGAGGTGGACCGAGAGAACCTGCACCCGATCTTTAAGCTCGGCTGGGTGCCGGAGGACGTGCCCCTTCCCCTCCTCGGGGCGCTCGCGCTCGCCTTCTCTCCGCTTCTCGCGTTTGTGGTCCCGATCGCAGTTGCCGGCCGCAAGGAGCGGTGGGAGCGGCTGGTGGCGGCGTCCAAGGCGGAGCACGGCGCCGCGTTCGAGGAGGCGACGGCTGCCTACCGCCGCCAGCAGCGCCTGCTCATCGACCGCCTCCTCGCCACGCGCTCCTTTGGAGAGCGAGACCCGCTTGTGCCGTGCCCCGAGACGGGCGCACCTCAGGTGCCTCCTCGCGAGACGAGACGCCTAGACGCACAGGATACGGGGACCGCGCGGCGCACACCAGCACCACCACAGACACAGCTGGCGGCCTACTCCGAGGCAGGAGGCCGCCTCCTCGAGAGGAGAGCCCCGAGTGACCTTTCGTGACCTTTGTACCCCGCCACAGGTGATCGCGGTGACGATGGCGACAGGGCAGGAGGGGCAGGGCGTGGTGCGGGCGCTCTCCTCCGCGCCCGAGTACGCCCGCGCAACCATCCTCGCCCTCGTGCGTAACCCCGACTCGGCGGCGGCCAAGGCGCACTGCTCACCCCTGCTCTGAGCGCTGCTCACCCCCGCTCTGAGCGCGTCGGGGCTCCCGCCTGCCTCGCAATGCCTCGCCTCTCACTAGCGTGCGGAGACGCTGACTCGCCTCGCCTCCCTCTCGCGCCCCACAGGCGCTCGCCGCACTGCCGCGAGTGAAGCTCGTACTGTGCGACTCGACCGACTCGTCGGCGCTGCGCGCGGCGCTCGAGCCTGCGCACGCCGTCTTCCTGCGCGCAGAGAAGAAGTGGCGCTCCCCGAGGTGTGCAGGGCCCTCATCGCATCAACTACTGTGAACAGGTGCACGACGCTCAACGGCGCTTCAGCGGGCGCGCGCTCCTAGATGCTCCCGAGGAGTGGGCGGGAAGCTGAATACTCCCGCTCCTTGCCGCGGCGTCACTAACTGCCGCGGCGTGTCACAAACTGCCGCGGCGTGTCGCGAGCGGTGTCGAGGCTGCCGGCGCTGGACACTTGCGCAGCATCGCACGGTCCGGCCTGCTCTGCTCCTCGCCCTTGCCCCACACCCGTCTCTCCCTCGCCTCAGGCTCGTGGTCAATGGAGTGGGACGGAGGCGACGGGACGAGGGCCCGCGGAGGAGGCGGCGGCGGAGCCCTCTTTTGGACCATCCCGGGAGGCCGCATGTAGGCGAGTACGAGGTTGCGCAGGGCAGGGCTTTCGCCGACGCTTGCGTCGGCCTGCAGCGGCTGCGGCAGGTGGACGCTCCGAGAACGTTCCGAGAACCTTCCGAGAACCTTCCGAGAACCTTCCAAAACCTTCCGAGACGAGATCCCGAGACGATTCCGAGACGGCTTTGTCGGCGGCAGGTGGTGTACGGGACGGCGCCGATGCGCAAGTGGCCCGAGCAGTTCGCAGTGGAGCCTCCGATCCACTACGCGGCCAAGTGGCGCATCGAGCAGATCCTCAATTGGGGGGGACTCCGGATGAGGTACATCCGCAAGGGCCCCTACCAGGAGAATTTCACCAAGGTGACCAAGGCACACAGTCGGACACGCTTCGGAGACCGCTTCGGAGAGTTTAAAGGACCCCCCCCCCCCCCCCCCCACACACACCTGACCGCGGAGCCGTGGAGCAGACCCGCCCACACGCACACTCTGCGCCCCCCCTCCTCCCACCCAGGCCAAGCAGCACACTCTGCCCCCCTCCTCCCACCCAGGCCAAGCAGCACACTCTGCCCCCCTCCTCCCACCCAGGCCAAGCAGCACACTCTGCCCCCCTCCTCCCACCCAGGCCAAGCAGCACACTCTGCCCCCCTCCTCCCACCTAGGCCAAGCAGCACACTCTGCCCCCCTCCTCCCACCCAGGCCAAGCAGCACACTCTGCCCCCTCCTCCCACCCAGGCCAAGCAGCACACTCTGCCCCCCTCCTCCCACCTAGGCCAAGCAGCACACTCTGCCCTGCCTCCTCCCACCCAGGCCAAGCAGCGCGATGGCGCGGCCGTGGCGATGGGCGTGGAGGCGGGCGGCGCGTTCGACTCGAAGAGGAGCGTGGCCCTCGAGCCGGGCGAGTACCAGATCAAGGCGCGCCGCCGTCAGACCCCGTGCTCGCACACTTCCCCCTAACCCGCCGCCCGCCAGCGGCCACCACAGACGGCGGCCACGACAGGCCCTCACGACATACGGAGAAGAGGGCCTCGACCTCCCTAGGCGCTCACGCCGCCCGACTTCACCTACAACATGATGGACCCGCGCGACACGGGGCGGTGGGCGCTGCTCGCGCTCCAGCACCCAACCGTCCTCGTCGGCAGGCCGCACTAGAGCTCACCGCCACTGCACATCGGA